TAAAATATCAGCATTTGCAGATATTCCCCCTCTGTACCAGTATATATTGAGATCTTTAAAAAGTAATTTTACTGATTCAATACTTAAGAATAGCACTTGGGGAGAAATGGGGTGTCACCAAATTGAATGCATATAATTCACATGTTCATCTACTCAAGGTAAAATTACAAAAAAACATTACCATGGAAACAAGAAATATCACAATGTTTTCTTTTTCTTCATCCAAATGGTAAGTTATAAACAATCGCTATACATCATTTTGGCAGCCCAAATGATTGATCACATTTGCACTTCATCATAAGAATTCCAATTTATACCTTCATCAAGAGAACTCATGTTTCTTTTCCTTTTCTTTCTTGAGATATATAATCACAGAAAGTTTTATATATACATATAACTTTTTATTATGCCTGTTATTCCTGACACAAACTGGTTTTGCTTTTCCTGGGGCTAACTCAGAATACTTGACCAGCTTTTGTACTGTATTACAACTACTTAGACCTGAAAATTATTCCTTTGATGTTTATCAAAGTTCTTTGCAGAAAATTGTACTGTAAAAATTACCTGATAGTTGTTTTTGATATTTTTTAGTTTTAGGTGGAAAAAATATCTTTATTTTATTTTTATGTGGTGCTGAATTATGGGGGCTGCTTGTACATCATGTTAGTGTCAAAAGTTTTACTTATTTTCATCCATGATTGAGTATGTGGTAAGAGCTAGAAGAGATAACAGGTGCCAGGGTTTGTGTCTTTTCTAGATAAAAACAGAGACCTAAGTAGTGAGGACATCATCCAGATACAGGAAATGGTAAGAGCATAAAAATATGTAGCGTGATATAGAGACAAGTGTTAAGTGGGACAGTATTTGTCTGAACATAAAGGGATTGGTGAGGATAATTTCCAGAGGAGAGTTCAGACATGAAAAGGGCTAAAGATACAGAGGTAGAAAGAATTTGTATCATGAGTTATTTCTAAAAAAATTTAAGATTGCTTGACATCCTCAATCTAAAGAAGGCCAATGATCATATATGCAGAATAGCAAGACCATTCTCAATGCTGTGGGCTGGTGAATGTGAGGGGCATGTGAATAAATAGAGATGAATAAAGAGGGAGAGTATTGCAGGCCTGAATGCTATAATGGAGGGACTGTTTCCAGATATACAGAAAATGGAAGAATTTCAGTGGCCCATGTATAACAAAGTTCAATGAAGTGAACAAATTAAAAAGCTGGGCTTGTGGGTGGGGAGATTCTGCTCCTGGCTGTTACTCAAGGTTTCAAATGAGATGTGTAATAAAACACAGAAACTGTGAATTTTGCTTTCATTTGCCATGTGGATTCTTCTATGGCAATATCTTCCTATGTTGAGGGAACTCATTTAGGTCCTTGGTGGGCAATTTCCTTGAGCCTGGACTTACCAAGCCCATCAGTGAATTCGTGAAGTCAGTGGGTGAAACTCAGTGGAAAATAAACTGCTTAATATGCAAAGATTTGGATTAAGGTCCCTAACAATGTAGGGAAAGCCAACAACAAAACACACCAATAAAATGTGACCAAACAAAAGTATTTTGGGATTTATTTCTCTTAGTCTAAATTCCAAGAAAGTATTTTCTCCCATAAACAGTATTCAATTTATAGGAAAGGGATTAAAATAAAGTATGTATGATTATACATTGAGTAATTTCTTACTTAGTATTTGACCCATGAGTGGTGGAGAACATGGAATAAAGTGTGCATAAACAGAACAAATCACATTTGCACTTCATCATAAGAATTCCAATTTATACCTTCATCAAGAGAACTCAATACTTGATGGATCTGGTGATTTACTGAGTGTTATAATAGAGTCAATATGTTCTTTTAGATGTGTTTTTCTTGTGTTTCACAGAATAGCCTTGACCTACTGAGTTCAAGCAATATCTGTTTTTTTTCAGTCTCACAATTCCTGAAACTACAGCCTAGCTCTCCAATAAGCTTTTTACAACATTGTGGGGAAAGTAAAACCACCTCATAGTCCCACAAATAGGGTTAATGTCTCCAGTTTGGGAACTTCACTAGTAGAAACATCTGAGTTACTGATTACTTTTAAAATCTTTTTTTATGCTTTTTATAAAAAATTTCAACACATCTATGCAAACATAGACACTGGTCTATTGGGCCAAATTTTATCAAAATATTGTATTAAAAAACAATATGAGTGGAAAGTGTGCAAGCATTGTAGATGTTTATCATAGCTCTTTGCAGAAAATTGTACTGTAAAAATTACCTGATAGTTTTTTTAATACTTATTTTTTAGTTTTAGGTGGAAACAATATCTTTATTTTATTTTTATTTGGTTCTGAGGATCAAACCCAGTGCCTCATGCATGCTAGGCAAGCACTCTACCATTGAGCCATAATTCCAGCCCATATCTGATAGTTTTTGTCCATACTTCCATCCTTACATTTTATTCCAGGCTAAATAAACACTATTTCTTTTCAAAGAAATTCATGTGAAGTAATTTGTTTAGATACATGCTTTTAGAATAGCAGCTAATATATAAAGGAGGTTTTTTGTTTATTTTAGGGTTTTTTGTTTGTTTGTTTCTTTAATCATACATGTGTGGGACACTGATGAAACTTTTCTTTTATCCTTTGGTTTAACAAATATCAAGTTTCTTGACCCCACTCTCATAAGAAGATACAGGTCCCACATCTAAGAAACAATGTATGATAAACATAAAGAATTAAGATATGAGGACTGGGGGTGTGGCTCAGTGGTGCTGGATTCAGTCCTCAGCACCACAGAAAAGTAAATAAATAAAAATAAAGGTATTTTTATTGTATATCAACTACAGCTAAAAAAATACAATAGTTTGAACTACAAATAAAAATATTTTAAAAGAGAATTAAGATATGATATTCCAAAGGAAAAATTATCTGAAAGCTCACAGAATACCATAAATCAGTAAACATTTCTAGTTCAAAGTTAATGTTATATATTCAAGGAATAACAATCTTGGTTTTCAAGGTATAAACTCAATAAAGACTTTTGTTTACAAAATGAATCTGGTTTAGTAGATTTTGTCAGCTTTTCAAGTATTTATGGCCATGCTTCATTATCAGAAAATTAGTAGTCTAGGGATGAGTATGGAGCTCAGTAATGCGAGTGCATTCCTGGAATGCTCAGGGCTAAGTTTTCATTTTGAGGGAACATAACCAATAAATAAACAACTAGCTGTCTTTATAACAAATACATCAAAAACAGTATGATCTCATCTGTCTTTCTCATATGGATTCCACACACATTGTGGTGCCTGATACGTATGAAGATGAGAAGTTTGTAGCCGCAGGCTGCACAATGAAGTGATCGACAATAAACAAAACAAAACAAAACAAAATAAACAAACAAACAACCACCATAATCTGAAAGCTTGCAGAATGATCATCTATAAATAAACTCCCTTACTTCAGCGTTATTGATATACAAAGAATAACCACCATCTTGGTGTTCAAGGGAAAACTCACTAAAGATATTAGATAAAAAAATGAAACTGGCATGGCATATCTTGATAGTTATTCAAGTATTTTCATACAATGTCTGGATGAACAGAAAATTAGCTATCTGGAGATGAGAATTTATCTCAATAATAAAGTATATTAGTGGCAGGTCGAGGGACAGGATTTTATTTCAAAGCACCACTACAGTAATAATATTAATAATAGAAAATTTAGCTGCATCAAAAACACTAGGCTTCTCATCTGAATGAATCACAAGGATACCACATATATCATGGTACCTGGTAGGTATGAAGGGGAGAAGTTGGTAGCTGCAAGTTGCCCCAATTCTTCCAGTCCATACTGGTTCCAATAATCTCTGGACAAGGAATAGTCTCACCTTTGGTCTGAAGGCAGATAAACTGAAAGAAGCTGGGCTGCCTTCTCTCAGTTTCAACATGATTCCCTCCAAAATTACCTAGAAAACTCTTTGGTTCCTTCTTCATTTTTTCCTTCCTTTTAACATTTCCAAAGCAACCTCTAGAGGCTTGTGTTTGAAACTGTGAATTTTACATTCTTTGGTTCAATTATTCCCACTCCTTCTTGCCTCCCTATATAGCAAATGTATCATGGAAATATAATTTGTATGTCTTTGTCTTTTGAGACCTTCCCCCTTTCCAAGATATATCCTCACATGAAAGCAAGATGTATGCTTACACTTCATCTGCTTGTCTCCTGAAGTATAGGAGCAAATAGGGTTCATTTACATTTCCCAAAGTGCATCAGTTCCCTAGCTATGAACAATGTCTGTGGATTAGGCTCATTGAAATGACCTTAGCAAATAATGGAAATGTGGAAGGAAAGATCTGCTGCCTCAGAATGAGCTTCTGAACATGGTCCCCAACAGTCAATGCATAGCAGTTTGAGATTCCCAGTGTGAACTTGGTCTTCTTCCACTTCTCATACTTTAACATGAATTTATCTCTCAGTTCCTCCCTATGAAGTCCCTCTAAATGAAAGTCTAACTGTTGCCATAATATTTCCAATGAGAAATTTAGATATCTGTGGTTTGGCCATCACTCTATAACCATTCATATTTCTTTATATTCCCCATTTTTGTTTCTGCCCTATATAATTTTGTTGTTATAGGTAGTAACAACATCTTGCATTCATTAAAACCTGTACATACATAACAATTTTTGCTAAAAGAGTTTAGGTCTGAGTTCTTCACTACTCAATTTTTTTCAAAACATACTAAGAAAAATTGAAATAATTTTACTTATGTATTAATCAATATAAAATTGATTATATTGATTGGAATATAAGTTGAAATGGAAACTTGCATTTCTTCCCCATTTTGAAAACCCTGTTTTTATTTTCCTTCTCATAAGTGATTTGAATTTCCTTTCCTCCCCTGAGTACAACTGCTTCTTTTTTCTTCATTGACTCATTGTATTAACTATATTTCTCAGTTTTCCTTTCCTCCTTCTCTATTTTTTGATTATCTTGTGATCATAACATATAACAAAATGCAATTCATAAGTCAGTTTTTTAGCAATACTCCTAATTTATTCTGTGAATGAAATAAAATAGGATATGTCACATATTGCCTTCCTTTTTTCTTTCTAGCTATTTAAAAGGAATATTATTAAAACAATAAGAATATACTACTGCTCATGAATGAAGGCAATATTCTCTCCAAACTATTTTGTATTGTATACATATACATATATGTATATATATACTTACTTTTTATATATTCGTTTTCTCTCTTCTTTGCACTTTGATGGGACATACCAGATATACTAGAAGCATAATCCTTTGGCTGTCTGTCAGAGACACTCTGGTAAAATAAATGTTAATAATGAGTTTTATAAAGATTTCATCATCACTATTTGGACATCACCATATTTCTAAATGTAAAATCATGGGAATTAAAAATTATACAAGTACATTTGGAGCAACAAATATTTCCATAAAAGACTCTATCCTACACATTCCAGGTTAAGCTGAGCTCTTCTCTTCATCTGGCTGATGATGAGGTAAAACCCTAATGAGGACATGGGAAATGTTTTCCTCTGACAACAATGTCAATGGCATGTCTATATCTAAAACAACTAACTTAAGTATTTAATTAGCAATCATTGCATTACCCACCAAATCTATGCATGCAAGAAGAGAAAATATAGTTAAAACTTTTTATATAAATGCACTGGATGTAAAACAGAATGCAACATTTTTAGCACCGTATGGCCTATTTTTAGTGTTAAATTATGGTACTTGATGTGATAAGAGAGTTCAAATTCTGTCACCTTGTGTAGAAATGAAACACTACTGTACTTGCTTCATTTGAGTCATCAGAGCCTTCCAAAATTTCATGTATTTCAATAAAATATGTATGGAGTTAAAATTACATTTAGAAAATGTACAAGGAAGTAAGAAATACATGTCTACATTTTAATTGCATGTAACAGCACATGCAAATTGGATAGAATATGCAACACTTCCCCTAAAAGAAAGAACTAATAAGTATTCCGGTAGAGAAAGGTGGCAGCACAGGATCATAGAGTATTACTGACTATTTCCAGAGATGAAGTCAGCCAGGTTAACCAATGTTTTGCTACATATTAAAAATATATGCTGAAGGAAAACACTGGAGAGCCATTACAGTGAGCCTGTGGCAAGATGAAATATAATATGCAATCATAGAGGAAATAGACATTAGCAGTGCCAGGGGAAATTAGCTGGGTAGAAGAGAGGAATCTCCCCTCTGTGGGCTAAAGAGAATTTCACCAACCAAATTAGAAAATAGAGAAAAGCAATAGACAGACACATCTGTGAACAAGATATACAAATTGCATACCAAATTATGAAAAATTTTCTATCTTCAAAATATTCAGGGTAAAATATTAAAAACTCCATTGATATTTCAGCTCACCCACTCAGAATAGCACTTATCAAGTATTCAAATTATAAGTGCTGGTGAGAATGTGGAGAATAAAGTACAATCATACACTGTGAGACTAAAACTTAGGACTTCCATTCTGGAAAGCAGTATGGAGATTCCTCAGGATACTAGGAATATGACCACCATATGACCCACCTTTCCCACTTCTTGCTCTGCATCCTAACTTTATAAAACCAGCATACTTTCTTAACACATGAACTTCAATGTTTGGTGCTAGTCTCAATGAAAATATCACAGAAATAGCCATGTACCCCATCAACAGAAGGATGTATAAAGAAAATGAGGAGACACTGGACACTGAATTTGAGCAAACTAGTTTTTCAGGATATATCATTATATCCAAATGAATCCCAATATAATATATCGAATGGCCCTACAATTTCTAAAGTGTAAAAGTTATAACATCAAAATCTCCTTCATTTTATTAAAGGATAACAGTTTATAGAAAAAATTGCAATGTTATACAGATTTTCCCCAATTCAAATACAACATTTTCAGCAATTAGAAAATGCTATTAGATTCTACCTAGTGTGTCAAGTAGAGTTGGATTCACTGCACAGTCTTCTAAAGAGAATTGGATTATGTGTGCAGGTGCTTCTTAACTCAGGTTCATTTATCTAGGCTTTCTTGTAGAGATAACAGAACAAAAAGGTCTTTCTTTTTTTTAGACTTTCTAAAACTGAAATTTGTCTTTTAAAGAGTGAGTTGGAGGCACCCCACAACAAAAATCCCATTAGATTTAGGAAAGGAACTGAGACATAGATCTTCTGAGTGCTCTGTGCAGGTAGAGCATAGCTCTGTGGTTTACCTAAAGTACATGAGGTCAAAATACATGGTCAATTCAAATGGTGGGGGGAGTTGCAGCTCTGTGAAAAAAGTGCCAGGGATGTGTCTGGTTGAAAACTGGCTGCATGCAGAACCAAATACAGATATATTTGAGCAGATACATCAGGTACAGTCAACCAACTCCGCTGAGAGCATTTGGAATTGTTGCCTCATTGTTGACCACAAAATATTTGGAGGGTCTCCTTAGCAATTTTAATAGAATCCTGAGGTCAAAACAATTTCAGAAGGGCTGTATTGTATAAACTTTTTGTATGAGAGATCAGGAACCACTGCATGTTTATACCTGTAAGATGCAGTAGACAGCTTACCTCCAAGTATGTTGGATGTTAACACTGTATGGGCCTTGGGAATAGACTAGCAGGAATGTGCTGAAAACTCTGATCAAAAAATG